GGGCCGTGGCGGTGGCGGCGGCAGCGGAGTAGGAGTAGGAGGAGGAGTAGGAGGAGGAGGAAGAGGAGGAGGAAGAGGCTCTCAGAGCGCCATGGCGCGGCGGCACTTCTTCCTCCTTTGACGATGGACAGCTTGCTCACTATGGCTTGTTGTGGGCGGTACTCACCGGTCATTGGCGGTTGGCAAGTCGTTGCAAAACCGTTTAAACTCTTGCGCTAACGGTGGTACTGTCTGCATGTCGTCGTGCAGTGGATGGATGGGATGGGGATGGATAGGGTGGTTGGGATGGGTGGTGGGTGGCCTAGCGCCGCGGCGAGGATTTGGAGGGGAATAGTGCTTGCGGGGCTATTGTGTGTTTTGGCCACTACGCGTTGAACGCTGACATTTGCACCCCGTGCGTCCGCGTGCCCGCGTTCCCATCACGGGGCGATATCTTGGGCGGGAGACACTGCGAGATTGGTTTACGGCAGTGGCTTCTGTATGTGAGAAGGTACAACAACGTCGCAGTCTTGGAGGGCTAGTCCTGATTTCCATTCGTCTTCTCCAGATCCGGGATCGTGAGTCCCTGGGCCGTGTGGTCCCGTTCGTTCTCTATCTCGATTAGTGGTCCCGTGCTCACCACCCCATCACGAAGCCCCCTCTCCCGTCCTTTAGGTGCGGGAGGCGCAGTTTGTCAGGGCGGGGCACGGGGCCCTCTTAAGACCATACTCATTTAGAAGAGGCTGGTGGCTGAGGAATGTACTGCTAGCGTGTTCTTGCGGGATGTATGTATGCGAGAGTTATAGGTTGGCCTACCTGCTGTGCCACAAAAAGGAGTTTTCTTTTGAATCGGAACCCCCTCCCCAACCACCACCACCGATGAAACGTGTTCTTTAAGAAGGAGGAGCAGGAGGAGGAGGAGCAGGGGGGCTTGGGACGTTGCAAAGAGTCACTGGACAAATGGAAAGGCAGAGGGCGGGAATGGGATCCGGTGTGAGAGCCTTGTTTTGGGTACAGAGCATGACATTAGGCGTTTGGGGTTCTCGTGTGTGTACCTCGGTGTTATGGCACAACCCTCTATGCGTCCGGGAACGGCGGCTTGGTGGCAGCTGATGCGGTGCCAGATGCAGGTACTGTACTGTACTGTACTGTACTGTGCCGATGGCGGACTGGGGCTACGGGTCTTTGCGAATGCTCTTGCGAAACGGTTCTGGGTGCGGTTTGTTGCAAGACAACGCGGGGCCCCCCCCCTAATCCAGTCAATCTCACGCCACTTGGCGGCGACTGCGCACCCTCGTTATGCCGGGTCCCGGACTGCGTGGCAGTGCGTGTATGCATCTGTATGTGTCTGTCTGTACGTTTGTTTGTATCCCTGCGGGTCCTTGTGACCGTGTGTGTGCACGTGTGTGTGTGTCTGTATGTACCCCCTGAAGATTACTCTTTCTGCCCTTCATTCATTTGCATGGATGGATTTTGTGTGCATATGGGCATTAGCATCGTCATGAGCGTGCTTCTGATATAAAACTGGTTGTGGCTTCAACCCTATCGATCCCGTCGATACACGTACCAGCTTTTCACGGACAGGCCGCACACTACCTACCTACCTACCTACCTACCTACCTACCTACCTACCCACACGTATTGACCCATGCGAGATATTTTCACAAACGTTGAGAAGAGTTTCCTTCATCCTCGACACCTGTCCGCCAGCCGAGAAGCAACTACACGAAGTTGCGATGGTGGCATAAACGGACATACGATGAATGAATTGTTCGTGCTTACACTTAGCCTGGCAGTCTAGCAGTCTGGTGGATGGGAAAAAACAACCGGAGCGAGCGGGGGGGGCTTCGCTGTAGCTTGGACTTGGACTTGGACTTGGCGGGCATTTTGTGGCTCTAAGGCGGGACGCTGCTGCCGGGGGTGTTACGTCATGCGGTAGGTGGCCTCGGTAGGTGGACCAGGGTTGTTCGGCTGGGAAAAAAATAACGAGGTGAGGGTTCGACTGCTGTCGGGCTGCATGGGTCAAGAACTGAACGTGAGCGGGAGCTTGTGGGTGCGAGCGCGTGCGTGCGTGCGTCTGTGCAGGTTTAGGGTTGCTTGTCATGGCGTTTTTCCTTTTTTTGGGGGGCGATTGGGGGGGCCCCCCGATACAGGGGGTTCTGCGATGGTGCTGATGGTGTTGTTGACGAAGGGTGACGGCACATTGCTTCAACTGCGAGTTTTTCTTTTCTTTTTCGTCATGCGAGTTGACGACTCCTCTGCGACTTTCCGGGCAGTGAGTCCAGCATCCATATGCCATCACGCCAGCAGCATCCGCGCACTCAGGTTCACACGGGAAGTCGCATGTGGGGAAGCTCGACAGCAGGCAAGCAAGGCGGGGCGGAGGGGAAGGGAAGAACGCATCTTATTGGAGCCTTCTGGCTTGCGACTTAGGGCATGGCTGTGTTGGTGGTAGCGAAATAGTTGTGCGGTGTCGGGTCTCGTATTGCCGTGCGGTGGTGCGGCCCTGCCGTCGGCGCCTCCCTCCTTCCTGCCCACCTGGTGCGGCGAGCGGCGGGGTCGACATGCCGCCGGGCCAGCTGTGCACATCTGGTCTAAGCACGTCCTGCATGTCTGTATGTATGTCGTTTAAGAAAATGTGCGGATGTACTGTCTGTCTGTCTGCCTGCCTGTCTGTCTGTCGCACGATGGAAGAAATGTAAACTGATTTGGACTGCCCCGAGCATTTTGTACGAACAGCTCGTGCTTGTCGTATGCAATCCATGGCATATTTACTCTCCGTACGGATGTACGACTTTTGCTTCTCGTTCACAGGCATTGGCGGGCCTGGCTGTTGACCTGGGCGGGGAGGGTTTTGAGTCTAGGTTAGCGTGTGTGTATAGGCTGGGCGCGTTGTGCTGCAAGGTGGGGTTGAGGGGCGGGAAGGAGAGGAGGGCCTGCGGGTATTGCTCTGGGGGGGTCTCTCCATCCTTGTGGGGACCAGTGACGAGGGGAGCAGGACCCTTGTCGACTTATGTACGGCGTAAGTGGTTGGGAGTGTCAAGGCGGGATGGTTGCGAGCTCTGGGGTTATGGCGTAGGGGTTTATGGCGTGAAAACCAGTGGATAGTATTGTCATTGTACGGCAGCTACGGCAGATGGAGGGGAACGGTGAGAAGCTGTAAAGGGGAGTACTGGGGGCGGCAATGCCCGTGGGGGAGTAATTTGGGCTGCTTGAGCGAGGGGGGGTACTTTTGCTTCTGGTGCTAAGGCCAGTGCCTTTGTAGGACCTTGCCGTACACACGAGAAATGTACCTTTTAATGTGTCAGTCTAAATTTCTTTTTGAGACACTTTTCTGCCGGGCGGTGGACGTGACGGTATTTCATCTCTCTAATGGAAGTGGCATCCAATATGCAATAACGAATATAGCCACAGTCGCATGTTTTCCAGGTGGTGTAAAACCGACAACTGTCAACGACCAAATGCGCGCTTTGCCACACGCGACGGCTGCGCCATCTGTAGGACGCATTCAGCCGAGTGGGGCACTGGGTACTGCGGCATTTCCAAACCCTCTGCGACAAGATGCAGACCTGGAGCCTAACGGCCTTAATGCTCGGCAACTTTGGCAGTGTACAATAAGCCGCGTAATTATCGTTGTCATTCATTCATTCATACATACATACATACTTTTCCTCGTGTTTCGCGACGCTCCGGGCTCCCCTTTCCGCCGACTGGGCCCCGCAGCTGAAGCCAGTAGGACGACTCTTCTCACCTTCTCACACCGCATCAGAAAGCCGCGATCACAAGCGCATCATCCTTACTCCGGTTTCAATTGCTCTTCGCCCTGCTTTCGTTTTGGACATCCCCACTGGCGCTGTCTTAGAGACTTTTCAAGACAAGACATAAGACGTGTTCGCCTCAGCAGCGGTTCCACCGTCTTAACCCATATGGCATCTTATGAAGGTACCCAGTGGGCCGACATGCAGGCAGGTCTCTGCACACTCCAGCCTTGCCTTTTCCAACACTTTTATGAACACATCCCTTCCGTTGTAGGAAGTTTGTTGAAAGTTTGTAGGAAGTTTGAAGGAAGTTTGTAGGAAGTTTGAAGGAAGTTTGTAGGAAGTTTGAAGGAAGTTTGTAGGAAGTTTGAAATGCGAGCTGTACGACGACGTAGATCAGGTACGTCCCCAGGTGGATCAAGTCACCCGCCGAGGGAACTCCACTTCCATCCCCAACCCATTGCGCGACCCGTCAACACCCCCCATGTCAGTCACATCGCCAGACTTTGCGAAGGAGATCACTTGGTAGGGATAACCTTTTTGAGTGGGATCGGCGCATGACCGCTGACCACACGGGCTGTAAGAAGTCTCAGAGCTAAGAGGGCGGTACACGTAAATGCCGAGTTCGCCGTGAGGACGCGGCGGAGGATGAGCACCACGTGTTAATGGAGTGTCTCTCGGGTCTCTGAGCCGCGTAGGCGTGCCGTGGAGGTTCCGTAATGACATGGAGTTGCGAGAAATCATGGTGTTATGGGATCAGGCGAACCTAGGCGAATCTTCTGGCACAAACCTAGAAGGCGCAAAGGGACATAATGTTGTAACGGACTTTTACTCCATTCGAATGCTGGTCGCATGTGTGCCCCTTGATGGATATCCGTTGTGGGGACACAGTTGTTGGTTGCCAGTACGGCCGGTACAACATGTAACATCTTGTCAAGCCAAACTGGTAGCTGGAATGGCATAGTATCACCCAAACATAAGATCTCGATCATCCGGGTTAAGTGCATGATGGCTGTAAGTTGAAACAAGAAGTCTACAAGAAGGATACGGCACTCATGTACGGTAGAAAGCCCCCACCTCGCGCTTGGTGCCGGGCGGTTCACCAGGGTTTCGATTTTGCGTGTTAGCTCTTGTGATTTTTAGTTGTAACTTCCGGAAAATCCGCTTTTTAGTCAAGCCCGTCACCTCATACCGGTACATCATTGCCTTGCCTGTGCTTACCATTCCCATCCTCTGTTAGCACCGGCCTATTCTTAAGGATTGATGAGGTCTTGTTCAGGGTTTGTCCGCAACCCATCACATGCATTGTCTGTGAAGGGAGCTAACAGGCTTGTCGCTCGCGTAGCTTCTGCGCCTGCACCGCCTCTGCAGCAGACAACTTCATATTCTAATCCTTCTGAGGGAAAGACTCTCCGTCGTCTCATTCTTTTGAGGCATGCTGACAGTGACCAAAACTCTGGTGTGCGAGACCATGATCGGCAGATAAGCGAAACTGGGCGGAAGCAGGCTTCGCAGGTGGCTCAGTTGCTGAAAAGCAAGGGATGGACTCCCGATCTTGTTCTCGCCAGCAACTCCAAAAGGACAAAGCAAACCCTGGACGAAATGTGCGAGGTGATGGATGAGCTAGGTGACGTCGATGCACATTATTACGGCTCGTTATACACGGTTGCAGCCCTGGATGGTCAAACCCGTGAGCACATTATGGAGTGTCTGCTTGAGGTGGTGGACGACGTCCGGAACAAGGTGGTCATGTGTGTGGGGCACAACAAGGTGAGCGGGTCCTTTAAACTTTGCTTCTGGCCGCGCTTCTCCTATACAGTGAGGGTCCCGGCTGTTTTGCATTTTCACGCGTGCCAGCATGCAATCACGCCACAAGTGCCCCCTCCTTCCTAGTCGGGTGCCGGACACTACTCCCGTGACCCTGCTCATTCTCCCCCGTGCTCTTTCCATTCCGCCATTCGCCAGACGCCCGTCTTTGCGTAGTCGGGCCTCACAAGCGTCCATGCACCCAAGCATCCCTAAGGTGCCAAGTCGCTAACATATGCACGCGTATGCTAAGAGCTGTCAAGGTTCAGTCCTCCTCACAGCGCGCTGCCTACACACCCCTACACACCTCCTTGTGCATGCAACACGCGAACCTCGCATCAGGGCTGGGAGGAGGCGGCTTCGCAGTTCAGTGGCACAGCAGTGAAACTCAAGACGGCGTCCGCAGCGCTGCTTCAGTGCTACAGCGCTTCCTGGAAGGAGGTACTGCAAGATAGCGTACAGTGGCAACTTGTGGAGGTATTAGTGCCGGCAGTTTGAGCAGCCCGGACATTGGCGGTGGCAGGGCACTTCAGCATGCGGAACCTGGCCGTCGCAATTGTACAAATCCCCATCCCCATCCCCAAGGAGCTTGAGGAGGTTTATTCGTGGGTAGTGTGGGAGGCGGAGGCGTCGATTACCTTTGACTTGTACAGGGCTATTTCTTGGTCCTGTTTGCACCACTGCTGCATCTCGGGGCATTCTCCTTCCTTGCACTCTGCACCGTTCTTCCTTCCCTCCTTGTGGAGCTGTATGTAGAGGTGTATGCTGGTTACGAAGACGGACTGAGGTGTGGAGGAGGCTTGTTTATGTTTTCGTCACCTAAAGCGCTTGTGGATGCTTGCCGGGGGGCTTTACGATTATGCCTTGACGCGTTGGTGCAACAGGAAAATTGGACGCGTGCCGTCCCCAGGTCAGGGTGTACATCCAGCAGTATCAACCGAGGTATGACTGGTTCTTCCTTGCCTGTTCGGCAACTGGTGTACGTTGCTGAGACACGTGCGTTTTAAATAACCGGGCTCGTTGACTCCATGTACTTAATGTAACGATGCCCTTGGCTTTGTTGAAAGGCTGAGAGGTGCTGAGCCTACTGAGTATGTAAATGCCGTTGCTGGCGATTGAAGCGGGGCGGATTGAGACCTGTGCGACCGACGGTGCTGCACCCTAAATCGTTGGGGACATTACGGTCTGATTCATAGCCTGATGAGGCACTAGTGGCTGTCCTAACATGGGACGCAGGCGTTATGGTGGTGATAAAGTGCAGCACGTTGTTGTGGGACCTCGTGTACAAAAATGTCCCCGCTTGCAGCCTGCGGCGGAACACCGGTTCTTCCTGCTGGAACCTTTGCGGAATGCCTAGGAATGTACCCAGTAACTAATATATCCCATTGCCTGGTACCTGTGGTGGGGTTGAGCTGGGACGACAGCGGACACCCAAGTGTGGCGTTGCCAGTGCATGTGGCTGGTGTACCGGGGGGACTGGTGTACCAGCGATTGCTGGCCAGGCTTATCTCGACGTAGTCACTAGTCAGTAGTCAGCACAGCAGGTCGAAAAGGACTTTTGGTTGCGACCTTGGGCTCACGGCAGCAGCCGGGGGTGGAATCGCTGCTGTGTTCGTGCGTATATGCTCTACAGGAGTTGCTCGACACCTCGGTTAGCGCAGGACGGGATGGTGAGGTGGTTGGTCTATGCACATACGGGCATACGGGTGCATGTGTTGAGTGCAGTATTGCAAGCAGATGCTACCATGATAAAGATTTGCTGTGCAGTCGGTCCTTACAGTACCTTGCAGAACCACCGCCACGTCGTACTACAATATGACCAGGGTCCTTGATTCTCGCTGTGCTGAGTGCGTTTGTTTAAGCAACTCCAAGAAGTTAATGCGAGGAAGAGAGCCAAAAGCAGTGTTAGTGTAGCTAATGATGAAAGATCCTATCGTCCAAGTAGTTCGCTGATTCGCGCTCCTAGCATCCCCCAGCCAGCCAGTTCTGCCGGCGTGGTGAAAGACACGTTCGGTTCCATGTCAATGCTCCTCGGGCACTAGGAGGTCATGTGGAAGGTTTCCTCGACCGTCCTCTATCCACCTGGGTGGGGGAACTCACGATGAATTTAATTCACCTCTCGATTCCATCCCTTCAGATCCTCGCCCTTCAGATCCTCGCACCGCATCTACATAAACACACGCTATCTGACATGGGGAGATGTTCCCCTCCAAACACGCACGACACACGAACGCGTACTCACACAGAGACACGTACGATGCAAATGCACACGCACGTAAGCGCACACCCACAAATAATAAAACCATGTTCGCAGCCACTTGCGCCCTTTGCTCGCACGCAAGCACGCTGTATCAGAAACATGAGATGCGACCGTGTGGTGGTGTCCGTATCACGCCCTGCCTGTCTGCCCCCGTGTACGAGTCAAACCTACAAACTTCATGAGGACCCACAAGCGGCTGCATTCTCTACAGACATCAGCGCTCCACATTCATGTATGTATGTATGTGTGTGTAAATGTTAACTTGTGCGTGTCTTCACCCGGACATCCTTGCAGTCGGTCATGCAGACGCATCCTGCAGCATACCCGCTAGGTCTGCCAAGCCGTTGTTGCCTCCCAGCACTCGCCTTCGGAAAGTTGCACTGGGGTATCAGTTGATGAACAGCATCACACGAAGCGCTTTTAAGGAACAGCAGTAGCAGGGACTGCTGATGCACCTCCGCAGTACACCATAGCGCGCCCTCGACAGTTCCTCTTCTCCTATTCGGCGTGGAAGTGAAACCCGTCGAGGGTTACAAACAAAACCATCGCATAACGAGAGCGCCAGGCATAGTGACTGCCTTGGGGCGATAGGACGTGGAGGAAGTCGAATGGGGGGAGAGTGTTCCCCCATAAGCCCGTGTCGGCCTTCCTATTGTCACTTTCAGCTTCTGCCCACAGAGTATAAGTCTTCAAGAGAAAGAACGAACCGCACATGACACTGCGCGCCCCATCTCCAGTCACGCCTGGGCGCTATCTCCTGCCATTACACATCGCTCTCACACACGGCTACAAAGTGTGGTGTGCTGACCCTCTCAGCCAGTAACCGGGGGACGGAAATATCCTGGTTTCACCTGAGCCGCCCCTCCCCCCTTCTATCTCTCCTATATACAGATGCACATGCCCAGGGCCACACCTTCCCTGATGTGCAGGACCTGCATCGCGGCATTGGCGGCTCTTCGCGCACCCTCTGCTTCCGATCATCTGCGTACGTACATACATACATACATACACGTATCCATACAGACAGTATGCACAACAGAAGTGATATGGCTTTTCGGCATGCCGTGGCGGCTGCCGCTTCACCTGTTACTTGACGCATACATACATACATACATACATACATACATACATACATACATACATACATACATACATACAGGGCTACGCCACAACCTGCACGCGTTACAGCGCCTGTACCTTCCCCGCCCCTTCCACCTCCCCGCATTGCGGTGTTCGTACCGCCCAAGACAGGGGGAGCTAGAGGGACGCCGCTTCCCACTCCCATTTTGTTGCGCCTCCTCCTCGCCATAGAGCAATACCCGGGCACATACACACAAGCACGTGCACGCAATCACGCACCCACATGACCGACGTCACCCCTACAGGAATGCGCAAGCAGACAGTAAAAGTATTCGCATGCACAGCGTGTGTCACACGCAGTGCAGTCAATATGTGGGACAGTCATCTTGCCGCTGGCCGGATACAGATCATCTCGATTTGGCTCAGGCACGTCTCACCCACCGGAGTACTACGTATGTCCGTTACCCGTTACGTGGCCACCCGCTACGAGCCAGGTGGAGACGCACCATGATGCGCCGTGAATACACCAGAGGACACCCCCACGGCGTGTAACTCGCGGTGACGAAGGAGTTTGGGAACGCCGTCGTCGGCGGCGGAAACAAGATATTGCCATATTGCATTGCATATGGCGGCGTGAACAGAGCAGTGTACGTGTGAGCGTGCTTGTGCGTATCTGCGGGGGAAGGCGCGGGGGGGGGGGGGCGCCCACTCCGATGCGGCCGCGTGTCGTGATACACCTAACAACACCAAATCCTAATTCCTTCCAAACCTCAGTTCACGGTAACACCCGTGCTAGGAGTACATACAGACACATGTACACATGCACATATATATACGCACATACACACATGCAAGCACACGCACCATCCACCACCACCGCCGTATCTGAGGTTCTCCCACTGCCTCACGGCCTCTGTCTAGCGCCCGTGAACTGACGCTACAGGTGCACAGGCACCTCGGTGCGGGACTACGGGCGGGTTGGCACTCCGCATTCAGCGCCCTCGCCCACAAAGCCGCACCCCAAAGGTTCCCCGCCAAGGTCCCGTAAACAAAACACGCAGGTTCCCCGCCGCCCCCCCCCCCGCCCGACCCCCCCCGACAGCTGGTCAATGCTCCCCGCCGCGGACCACCTCAGTTTCATCTCGTTTCATCTCGCAGCTAGGACTGGTCGCAATTCGCGTGGTACTCGCACATTTTCCAATGTGGGGCAAGGACCCAATCGGGAGTCACGGACGCACAACATGATCAAGAACAAAAAGATAGCCCTCCGTCCCGGAGGATCGGATCCACAGGCACCTTTGGCAGTGCAAATTGCTGCCAGCGGTCAAGAAAACCGGTTGAGCTTTCTTTCTTTCTATCTATCTATCTATCTATCTATCTAAGGTTAACAAAAGGAAGAGAATAAATCGCTACTGCCCTGGCGGTCGAATATGAGGTAAAGCCAGCCGCTTGCGCGGGGCACAACTGCATGAGGAGCTGGGCTGCAGGGCCCCGGCGTCTCGCCTGCCCGCTGCCCCCGCCGCTCCCTACTACCGTAGTCTAGCCGTGTCTTCGCACGATATTCCTTCCGTTTTTCCTTCCTACTGGTGGGATCCCCGCTATCCAAACTTCTACCGTCCGACATACATACTAAGTGACCGCAGCGGCGGTCTAACGGTGTGGTCAACACAACAGCGTAATCACGCCGCCGATACGTTTCACGGCATCTGCCTGCCGCCCTGCCCATTCCCCACTCCCCATCACGTTCCCGTCCCAATAGACCCATTTTTTCCATCTCCATTTATTCCACTACAGACTCGCTGTCGTCACCCACCCGCTCCCGCAGCACCGTTAAAAATCAATTCCTTCCACCCCCGGGGGTTTCAACCGGAAACCCAACGGCTGAGAGCACCAAGGCTGCGGTCTCCAACCTCATTGTTGATTGGGTCATAGTATGCCTGACAAGAACGCCATGCAAACTTGGTGTAAGCCTCGTACTTTCCGTCGTAAATGGGGTTCATAGCTCCCTCGAAGCTATCCACACCCCCTTCCGGATGGAGGCGTTGCCACGGCTGCCGGCAGCTGGCGCCCTTGCAGTAGCCCATCATCTACAACATAGCCAGCGTTACGAGACGGGGTTAGTAGTGTAATCAGTAACAGCAACTGAAGTGGCACGTGTAACCAGCAGCAGGATCAGGAGCAACAGATATGCCACATATATATGTATATATATGTGTGTATAAATAGATGGATAGATAAGTGTAGATAGATAGACAGACAGGACATGCAGCAACAGCAGAAAGTGCGAAAGTGAGCGCCAAAGGCATATGGAAAGGTTGGGTCAACATCTCGCAGCCGCGAGCAGACCGAACGAAAACTAATCCAACATCATAACGCGTGCGTGTAAAAGTGCAAAACATATTCTCTAAACAACACAGGGTGCGCAATATACCCTTCCTACAACTGCAACAGGACGTTTTAGGTCGTTTCATTACCTGCAGCAGCGCGTCCAGACGACTGACGAGGCGCTTGTAGTTGGGGTTAGGATTGGAGTCGAGCGTCAGCATCAAGTTGTTGATTTCGCCAGGGTCTGCGCCCAGGTCAAAAAGCTCCTTGAAGTTGGTGGTGGTTGGCCAAACGCACCAAATAATGTACTTCCAGCAAGTTTCTGTCCGGCCGTCGTTGGCAATTGTGTAGTTGGTGCAGATGCGCACCGAGCGGTAGTCTTTCTTGTCAAGATCTTTGCTCAGTGAGTTGATCCACATCTCCACTGGTAACCTGTCCGCGGGAGGTAATGCTCTGCAGTTAGTTGTACTGAATCGTGACAGTGAGAGGAGATCAGCAGCTGAGAGGAGTTTTCATCTGACAATCACTCAAAAACCCATTTGAAAACTCACATTTGCCGCATAGTGCCGTTGGTTACCGTGGCCGAAGGCGGCATGGGAGTCTCCGGTGCGGCTGCGCCGGGAGCCTCCTGAACGATGCGGTCCAGGGGAAGCGGCACGCCATCCATCTGGTCGGGTACGGCACCACCACCCAACGTAATCAATGTAGTGGTGAGATCTACCATTGTCGCCATGTAGGGATGTACGACACCGGCGGGGATGCCGGGACCGCGTATGTAAAACGGCACGCGAATGTCCTCCTCGTACGGCAGCGTCTTGCCCTGCGAAACACACCAACGTGACAGGAGGCGGGGGTTAAGGGTGTGAGGCAATGAATGGCCGAGTGTGGGTCAGTGGGTCAGTGGGGCCTCCTGAGTGTACTATACACATTGTGCATTTCAAAACACGTACGGATATATAAAAACGAGCAGGCCGAATCCGGCTTCACATGCAGGTACTTCTCATCCCCCATATTTCCCCTCCAAGTCCTCTTCCAGGCTTGACCTAACCCAGCCCGGCCCAGCCCAGCCCTGTCTGGCATCAAACCCTTCAAAATGTCGCCCACCACAGCTGCGCCCCCCCAACCAGATCGACCCCAAGGCGACTGGCATGGTACGACTGTACGGCGCTGTACCTTTGGCAGTCCATGATTTCCCAAATGGTAGCCGTTATCCGACACGTAGATGACGTACGTGTTGTTCAGTACGCCTCTCTCCTCAAGCTTGTTCACTTTCGGGGGCGAGGGTGTAAAGGGGGGGGCCGCGCGCCGAGGAACACGAAAAGCAATTACACGGCGAAACACACTTCACGCGTGTCGGGAAAAGGTGAAACACACTTCAAAAACAAAGAGGTGCTGTGCTGTGCAGAGGGCGCTATACCCAGATACAACACGATCATCACGTGATTGACGCGAAAGCACGGGGAGGGCGGGAAGGCGCCACCCCTGCAAGCAGCTGGGCAGAATCAGTGGCCGGATGTACGGGTGAGGCTCTTCAACACAGCTGTTCGCACGCCCCGGACCCGAGATGGCGGGGTGGGATTCCCCCATTGTCCGCCACCAGCCCCAGGCACCCCTAACTTCCCCCTAGCCACACGATCGTACCACCCAACATTCATCTCTTCTAGCACATGTCCAACCATCGACACCCCACCACCACCACCATCATCACCACCACTCACCAACATCCTCAATCATATCGTCCACCGACAACATGGTTTCCAGCCGCCTCTGGTAGTGCTTGTCGATACCCGCGGGGTTGGTGCTGCCGTCGGGTCCGATGTTGAGGACGTTGGACAGATACACGTTCCAATTGGAGAGCTGCGCGATTGCGAAAGAGGAAGTGTTTTAGGCAGGTAGGCAGGCAGCAAGGGATAGTGGGAACTTTGGGAGGGGAGAGGAGGATAAGGCCGTAGCAGCCCAGCGTGGGGGAGCTTGCAAATTAGGCTATAGTTATGAGAGCCGCGGGATCAACGCCTTCGCACACAATGCAAATCAATGCAATGCCCGATACGTGAAATGGACATATACAGTAAAACCAACTTCAATCATTCCCCGACAACCTCAACCCACCAACCCCTCATATTAGAGCAAGAGCAGCAGCAGCACCATCATCATCCCCACCAGCAGCACGACTACAAGACCAATACGCAACCCAACCCAACCCAACCCAACCACCTAGACGACGACGCGGAGCTGCGCACCCCCTAGGACCCGCAGCCTCCAATAGTTGTGAAAAGTGCACACATACACAAACTCTCTCTCTCTCTCAGTCTCCCTGTCACACACACACACACACACACACTCCCCCTTCTCTCTCTCTCTCTCTTTTTCTCTTTCTCTTTCTCTCTCTCTCTCTCTCTCTCTCTCTCTCTCTCTCTCTCTTTCTCTCTTTCTCTCTCTGTCTCACACACACACACACACACACTCCCCTTCTCTCTCTCTTTCTCTGTCTCTCTCTCTCTCTCTCTCTCTCTCTCTCTCTCTCTCTCTCTCTCTCTCTCTCTCTCTCTCTCTCTTTCTCTCTCTCTCCGTCTCTCTCTCTCACACACACACTCCTCCCCTTCTCTCTCTCTCTCTCTCTCTCTCTCTCTTTCTCTCTCTGTCTCACACACACACACACATTCTTTGGGACCACTGCGGATGCAAAGCGCACCCCCACCCCGAGTAGTGTACTGCACACACCCCTCCGCCACCTCTAGCGCCACACCACTTCACACCAATGTGGTAGTGGCAGTGGGCACACACCAATGCAATTGCCGCCGGCAATGCCCATCCCGACTAGCTCGTCATGCCTCAAACCCCGCCATCCTCCGCCCCACCCCTCTCCTCATCTCTCCTCCTATCCAATTGCCCCTCCACCGGCCCACCCAGTGACCCACCGACCCACCCGTGGCACTGAGACCCCGGAGAAACGCCCCGAGTACTTGGGGCTGGGCACTGGCGGCACGCAGGCGCCGCCCTCCTCCGCGCCCTTGGGGCAGGCGGTGTGACAGGCGGCGGGGTTGATCTGCACGTAGAAGGGTTGTCCCTTATCAACCGCCTCGCTGCAGAGGGGCAAGATGCAGGGGCAAAGGGCAGGGGCAAAGGGCATGTGCTGGGTAGGAGGCGCTTAGGGTTTTTTAGGGTTTTAGGTAGTGCCGTACTGGACACGGAGAGCAAAACACCCCGAGTGGCTAGTGCTGAGTGCTGATGGTGTGAAGGTAGCAGTACCGGCACCAGTTCCCTTCGCTTCGCTTCGTTTCATTTCATTTCGTTCCAAGCCGGCACACACACAAGCTCCGGAGTCTGTGCGGTCACAAGCTGACCGCCTTTCCATCCTTTTTTCCCATTCCATATCTTCAGGTTGCCTTGCCGTATTCGGCCGGAAGGGCGGGTGTTCGATATAATAAAAAGTAAATGGTTCAAGCATATTGCAAACCTTCCCAAAGCCATGCCGTACGTACTCAATGTATCCCAGCGCACGCGTCGAGATAGTGTCGGTCTGGTAGGCGTTACGGAAGCTGTCCATCCGGGCGCACTGCAAGGCAGAAGAGGGAGGGGGAAAGAGGGATAGAGGATACGAGGTTTTACCCGGGGCCCTGTCGCGACGCAAAAGAACCCCGACGCGCGCGGCGGCCCTCGTTTGTGGTGTGCATGTGGTGTGCATGACAAATCTACGGGCTGTGACATCTGTGTTGCATTACCCGACCGAAGTTGGCACTCGGCCTAGCCTAGCCGTCTCGGTTAATAGATTTTTTTGTGTTTTCCAAGTTCTGTTTTGCTTTGTTGTGCCGCTGAAATGTTGCAAAAACTAGGTTGCGACGAGAAGACTGGCGAAGGGGTGCCTGTGGGGGCTACCTGTCCGTGTGTGTGCAAACGTCTGTGTTGGTCAGAGAGAGAAGGAAATGCCCAAACTTGCTGCCGCTGATGTTGGTTATGATGATTAAAAAGCATGACAGCACTATGGGTAAGGGGAGACATGAAGGGACATACAAGTCCTACTAACCCGGCTAATCCGACAAGGTAAACACCTCAAAATAGCCCATTTCAGCAATCGCAGTACGCCCGTACATCTGCCGTACCTGGGGAACAAAGTCGTAGTTGATGTAGTCGTACACACTCTTATCCGTTAGGGGGTCAAACATGTCCCAGCCCTTGGGGCAGTTCTTGACGTCACCTGGGGGCTGAAAGTCGGGGAGCGAGGGGAGCGAGGGGAGCGAGGGCCGTGGAAGCCTAGACCACCAAAGGAGAGGAAAAGAGGGATTCAAGGCGCAGGTGCATGAGAGGAGGAGGGGTGGGGTGTTTCACGCTGGAACTGGAAAACCGGGACGGTGCGTGAGATCGCATGCGCAACGGCACCTAGGCGATTGGAGGTGAAGCATGGGAAACCCTGAGTTAGGGCTTCGAAGATATACCATGAAGCTTTTAAGACCAAAACATGTAAAATAATAAGGGTTAGAGCAGAGCCCACATCCGGATATGAACAGGATGGGGAACAATGGGGCAGGCCACATACACGAGGGCCCGATCCAGGACGCGAACGGGCGGAATGCGCAAGGGAGCAAGGGAGCAAGGGAGCAAGGGAGCAAGGGAGCAAGGGAGCAAGGGAGCAAGGGAGCAAGGGAGCAAGGGAGCAAGGGAGCAAGGGAGCAAGGGAGCAAGGGAGCAAGGGAGCAAGGGAGCAAGGGAGCAAGGGAGCAAGGGAGCAAGGGAGTGCAGCGTCCGGATAGCCGAACCAGGGGTCCAGAAGGGTCCATATGCTCGGGGTCCTTCACCCGCCGGGCCGTACCAGCCAAAGGCCTCTTCAGACCAAACCAAGCCGAATCAAAAACCCCAGCCTCCAGCCCCCAACCTTCCGAGCCACACCCAGCCACCAGCCCGCCACCCCGCCACCCCGCACAGCCTCACCACGTCGAACAGGTTGATAAACTTGCCAGTAAAGTAGGTGTTGTAACCCAGAGGCTTGAGCCACAGCGGCAGCCATTCCGCGTCCAGCTTTTGGGCTTGGAACCGGCCCCATCCGCCTGCAGACGTGAATCGGGGTTTGCGGTCGGCGGGTGAGGGCTGTAGCGGCCGTGTGACAGAGGCCAAGTCAGCTGTGCCGTCAGCTGTGACATGACATGACGTGACATGACATGCAGGCGGGAGCTCTCCAAGTTCCGTTTGGAGGTTTAATGTAACTGCACGCGGGTCCAACGGCTCCAAGCACAATGCTTGCTGTGTGATGTGTGCAGCACAACCCTCAACCCACAACCCCGGGGGGCCCTGCTACCCCCCTGCTACCCAACTGACCGACTGGGGATAACAGAAAGACAAAAGCCCCAATCTGCAATGGGGGGTGCAGCAGCTGCGTGGAGCAGCAGCTGAAGATGTAACAGACAGGACAGCGGATGCAGCAGTTGCGCTCCATAGTTAACTACCTGATCACTCTACTGCGCACGCCGCAATAGAGGTTTGTTCACTCACACGCGCACAGACTCTTCCCGTCTTCCTCTCTTTCTCTCTCTCTCTCCCTCCCGCACAAAACCCACACACTTGTGTGGCCCGGTGATAACCACAAAGTGCACCTTTCTGTTGTAGCATTACCACGGCCTCATACACCACGCACACTGCGCTGGTCATATCCAAAAATACAACCCACCGCAACCATCGCGGCTTACCTTGGGTTCATACACCTCCGATGGCTTTACAGGACTGGGTTTTGTTGTAATAATCTGCCCATGCTCATGACCGTACACACCAACAATCCCCCCTGCTCTCCCAACATCCTAAGGCCCTTACCTGCATAGCCCATGCGGGTTTCATCCCTAACATCCCTGATATATCTAGAACCCTTTACCTTGCGGCGCCTGATTGCTGGTAACGTTGTGGTTGTGGGTGAACTTGCCGGTGAGAAGGCTCACGCGGGAGGGGCAGCAGAGGGAGCTCGTGACGATGAAGTTATTTAGATGGAGGCCCTGGTCGCCGATGTACTTGTGCAGTTTGGGCATGTAGGCAGGGTGGGTTGCGTTCAAGAGGTAGTCCTGGTCGTCGACCATGATAAGGACAAAGTTTGGTTTAGTTCCTTGGGAGCGTGGGGGCGCTGGGCTGGGAGGAACTGGGCTGGGAGGACGTGGGATGGGAGGACGTGGGATGGGTGGTGGCGGGCTGGGTGGTTGTGGGCTGGGTGGTGGCGGCGACGGAAGTGTGGGCCGAACTGGGGAAGGTGACCGTGGGGGAGGCATCTTGCGGCGCACCAGCGGAGGCGGTGGAGGTGCAGTGGGTGGCGGCCGCCTCCTTTGACCTTCAACTACAGACCCGAAGAGGGCTACTTGGAGGAAGAGCGCCAGAGCGACGACAAGAAAGCTTGTTGGGCGCGGCATCGTAATAGGTCGGCGGTAAAACTCGAACACCGATAGTGAAAAATGTTTCAAGGTTCACCAAGTGATATGATGAAGCTGGAAAAGCTTTGATAGCGCTGCCCTCTAACTGGCCGCTGTTACATGAACGAGTCAAGCTATGCTACTCCTGTTTATTCAGCGCAAAGTAGCAAGTCATTAGAGCCCTCACGCCCAGTCCTACGGCAATGCTTCGTTGTACAGAACTGGATTTTGTTTCATGCTCGCAACAGTTGCTGTATTGCTGTACGGTAAGCGCCCGCCCCAGTCCCACAGTCACTTGCAGTGAAGCTCACAGTTCCTCTTACAGAGCAAATAGTACGCACATTATTTAGTGGTGTGCGTCGTCAGTGATCTGGATGTCTGACAAACCCAACCTACTTCATCATTTGTACGCCACTGGGACAACGTAACAGGACTCACAATGATTTGTAGAGGTTTTTTATAGATGAAGATTGTCTATAATATTTTGTTTTCTATACGATATGCGGGGGTCACACCTCACAGAAGCGTGGAGTGCAGGTCGTCTTCGGCCTCTCTAAGTCATAAACGAGAGCCAGAAAAATTAAGGTTTTATATCAGTTTATAGTATTTACTCAAAAACCTACTCGCCCACCAGTTTCACTCCCGCTACCATGTATACGCAGTTCGTATAGTAAATTGCACGTCGTAAGGATGCCCAATACATCTTCCCTCCTGTCCGTGACAAGCTATTCCTCTCAAATCCAGACGTTACAACACACTTCATACCTTAGCTAGGGCGTTCACGAGTCCTGCGGTAGAAACGAAACGGGAAATGCGAGAAGCACGCAATTGGCGTGAAGAGTTGAGAGCGGATCTTAATGTTTGCGGTTTTCCGGAGGTCTGTCAGCTGTGGCAAAACCACTGTGCTTTGCATGCTTTAGTGCTGCGTGCTGCGTTTCTTGTCTGCAGTACGGGTTAACTTACTTTTGCATTTGAGCCACCGCCCTTCTCGCAATGCATGGGTTGCGCAATTGAAGCGGTTCATGAGCCTTCGGGTTCGTCTGAACAGTACGAGCTCGCTGAAGCTTGTAACATCCATCCACCTCCCCTCGTCACCTGAGCGATATACTTCCAAAGTTGTGGTTAATGAAATACCTGGCCCGTCATGACTCCTGCGGCTTCTGCCCATGCACAAGTAAGCCTCACTTACAGCGCAGCCCGGCACAGCCGCGATCCTGCCCGATCCCGTATACAGTCGCATTGCGATATCAAGGCAATACATTTAACACCTTGTTGCGTGCTGGAATATGTTGTATTCTATCAATTAGCATGGCCGACTGGCATATCGCACTGCGAACGGTTCCGAGATGCATCACATTGGCATTCACGATGCGGCATCTCTTTGACATTGAAGATTAAGACTGCTGAAAAGACCATCTTCTGAACCAAAAAATAATATGATTTACGCCACATTCGTCCGCAGTGCCATTGCGTATCTTCACAATCATGCCTTCTGGTGGGCTTGGAACAGCTTGGAAGCGTGCCGTGCTGCCAGGGCGCAAGGCGCAAGGTGCAGGGCGCAAGGCCACACATCTATTTAACAAGCCAACACATACCTAACATTCTAGGTGCATGCAACAGACGACATGCCGACACGCAAGAACGCTGCTGCTGCGCACATTTCCGATTTATTACGCAGTAAGTGTCTCACAACGCTATTATACAGGATTAAAGACACACACACCGAGACGGTTGCGTACCTAGATTTGCGCGTGACACAGTGGCATGCGCAGCAGATTGACGGTGTCACGCGCAAATCTAGGTACGCAACCCTCTCGGTGTGTGTATGTGTGTGTTTAATCCTGTTTGATAGCGTTGTGAGACACTTATTATCGGAAATGGCATGCCCAAGAGAACGGAAAGGAAGAGTCGTTGCCTGGATAAGGAAGAATGATCGTTGAATCATTACTGTTGAAGAGTCGCACACACAACACGGTCGTTGGCCTTGGTTGCTCAATGAGCCTTGGCTGCTAATGTCGATTGTCCCGGCCGTTTCGTTGCTCCTGCTGCCTCTGGCGCCTGTCGGGATCCTGTCGGTGATTCCACCGAACACGCTCAGGTATTGGACAGCTGCTGCTGCTGCTGCTCACAGCCCAGCACAGCTCTGCGCGCACACGCCTACCTAGTATAAAAGCAAACCGGCTGCCCGCTCGAAAGCCCCGCTTTCACAAAATAATGTTCGCGCCGGGACTTCCTGGAACTTTACACATTCCGTATTATTAGCTGGATTTATTTATGCTCGAAACATTGATCGACTGCTAAAGCTGAAACACAACAAACGCCCGCCGTCGCTATACCGGCTGCCGCGTTTCATGCCCTCTATTACCGATCTACCCGAGATAAACTTTTCGCGTTTCGCGTGGCCGCCGGCCACGACGTTTGAGTTCCCCACCTGAAAACAGCGCCCGGCTTACCCAAGCCGTTTCCGTTTGCAGCAGAGCCAGCCACCTATGTTATAGCGCGGAGCCCAAAAGGTATATAGCTAACGTGCTTGCCACCTACCTCGAGCTATAGCTCCCCGCGCTTAGCCAGCTAAACCTAAGCAATCTGCAAATTGCGCATTCCGCTGTAGCTATTACCTTCAAAAAAAACAACTATAGCTCTGACTGAGTCAGCTGGATAGGATAATAGCGGTCTAAATATCTGTGTCGGCGCCCGCAAGCAGCCGCCACAGGTCGTCGGCCTCGCCCAACTGGTAGGTAAGCGTGCGCTTGCGCCAGTAGTCGCCACCGAAAGTCTTCAAGTTGTCTGCCGTACGGAAACACGCAGACACACGTACGACACAACGTCATGGGCGTTCTGTTCCCGTGCGAACACAGTGTTGAAAGTAATCCAAGTGTGCAGGACAGCAGAAGTCGTTTCTGCGGAAGTTGCCACCGCACGTACGTACGTATGTACGTACGTACGTACGTATGTACGGCTCCAAGGCGTGCCCAACGCGCCAACACACGTCAACCGCATAACACGGGGGTGACTCATAGACCGAGCCCTACTACACGGCCACGCATATACGCCGCGCCGCGTCACTGGCGATACGCGATGTACGACGATGCCCTTCCGTGTCATCATATCCACTCACCGATGACGTCATCTAGCAAGATCGCCTTGCCCGCCGAGGCACCCGGGGCAGTCATGGCAGCATGGATGAAGTGCACGTGAAAGTGCCAGTACGACGGGTGGTAGTGTACGAAGATACGCAGGCTGTTCTGCGGCACGCCGTACTTGTCCCAGATCGCCTAAAAGCGGATGGGTCCGTGTACGGCAGGTAATAGCCAGGTAGGTGTATGTATGTATGTGTGTATGTGTATGTGTGTGTGAGAGAGAGTTAACGATGTGTATATTTAGGAGGTCTCCCACCTGTTGCCCCAAGCCCACATTCCCTTAACGATCCGTTATAAGTCCTTCAGTCTATCAACCCACACATGGGGGGCCCACCTAGACCTAGTGGCGAAGCAGAGTGCCTCACCCAGCCGCATACGACTGCACCCCTCACTTCCCTTCCTCCCGCCGCCTATGCCTTAATACCGCACCTTGCTACCCCTGTCACGAATGTTCTCCAGCAGCGGCAGGTGGGATATGTCCAGCGAGCGCAGGCAGGGCACATCCCGACGGTGTACGATCGCTAGGCAATACAGCTGGTCGACCTGCTTCTGGTCCTTCGGGGTCGCGGGTGTTTGGGATTGGGAGAGGAATGTGGGTTAGGGGTTCTTGGGTTCTTCCTCTTCCGGGACAGGGGCCTTGGATCTCCCGTACTTATCTTATCATTCGTCGTACTCGGATACCGATTCACTAGATATATTATATTATTCGGGCAATAAGGAGAATCATAACGTCCGGGATGGCGACAATGCGGGACCACGATGAGACGAACCGGGTGGGCCTGCGCCACTCAATCTCCTATCCGCCCCCCTCCCTTCCCCCACAACCCACATCCCCATCCCCACACACACCTATTCCTCTCCTCCCCCTCCCCCCCCCCACACACACCTACCCACTTCATGTCGGGATGCAACATAAAGCCCAGCTGCGGGTCGGGGTCCTCAAAGATCAGCCGCTCCACCTCCTTCTGTCGTCCTCCTCCGCCGCCAGGTGTGTGCGTGTGTCGTGGGATGGGGGTTTTTTAGGGTGTGGGAGGGATTTTAGGTTGTGGGAGGGGCGGGAAGAGAAATTGGCGTGGGGAAAACCCACTGGCCAGCCGGGTAATTTGTACGAGCGCATTGGGTTTTCTGAGTGAGTGTCGTTAGCACCCGGGGGGGGAGAGGGAATAATGTGGGCGGCGGGCGCTTACCTTCTTTTCCAAAACGTTGTACACCCACTGAAGGCGGGCAGGCGGGATGCTCTGGATGTACGGCAGGACGATGCGCTCGTACACCTCCGGCGTCTCCCGCACCTGATGCATATCGGACATTGATAAAGTAACTGTTTCGCTGTATATATGTGCTTCTATCACTGAACATTACGTTTGAATGACCGCTGCATTGCCTAATTGGGCAATAGGCCAGGAGGGTGGCCTCCTCGTGCCGGAGCACCGGTATGTGGGGCTCTATGCAATCACAGGACTGCGCCCTCTTAAGTCCCTTGGAACCCCTGGAACCTTTCCATCGTCCAAAGCCATACACACACACACACACACACACGCGGTGCACCGGCGGTAAGAAGGGTTCAGCTCCTTGGCATCTCCCTGAATACTCTTTGCCTGCTGGTCTTACACTGACCAATTCATCAGCGAGTAAATATCAATCGAGTGGCACCGGCCGCCCCAGGGGGCACCGGCCGCCCCAGGGGGCACCGGCCGCCCCAGGGGGCACCGGCCGCCCCAGGGGGCACCGGGGACTCAAAACAGCTAGGGAAAATCCCAGCAGGCAGTGAGACATGCAAACACACATACAGACAAACAGCGCCTCACCATGTAGCGCAGCTGTTGGCGGTACTTCTGGATATGCTTGTCGGTGGCCGGGTATATGAGGTCCACGGTGATGGTGGTGTGCTCGGCCGGCGGCTGGCCAACATACTGTCATGTACGGCAATGGTACGGCACAGAAATACATGCACGTGGGCTCACACGACGAACGCGCGCGAAATCGTATGAATGCGGAGCATGTGGGTCATATGTTTGTCACGCGAGCTGGCGGGGATGGAATTCAAGCACGTTTTGCAAATCGACGCACAACATACTGCGGCGGCTACGCGTCATTGTGTTTTGCGTGTCATGTACGGATTGACGTTGCCCCCGTGCGCACCCAAATGGAAATGAGCTCTCCCTGGAAAGGAACTGAAGGACCCCTTTTCGAGGATGTCAATGCCAAAGAAAAACAAATGCAGCACCACAACGAGAGAAAGATGCATTCGGGGGGCATCCGTACGTGTGTACGGCAGGAACGGTTTGGTATGGGGTTCGGGGCCACATATGTGGGTATATACCTTGGAGTAAATGTCATTTACAAAGTCCCGCTGCAGAGCCAGCCCCTGACCCACAAGTCCACTCAAGTCCGTCTTGTCGAAGGGCTTGCGTGACAGCAGAAGTACGGCAGGGTCCTCACGTCCTTGGAACCTGAACGGTGCGTGTGTGTATGTATGTATGTATGTATATATGTATGTATGTATGTATGTATGTATGTATGACTTTGATTACACTGTGGGCCGCGAGAGCCGGGGGCCGAAGCCGAAACACAGCGCAAGGGGCGGGTGCAAACGGCTGGTTAGTCTCATGCACTCCGCCCCCGGGTCAGGCCGCACGGGAAACGACGGCCGGCACGCAACAGCGCTTGTTTGGCGCTCCAACTAGACGGGATCTATGCCCGTTGGTCTCCTAACATAAACGAAGTCGCAACTGGGGGGCTCTTCCTGCCGACCGAACGAACCGAGCATCTCAGAGAGCTCGCAACCAGGACCTGGGCGACCGGGAGCCCGACGAGTCATCCCGGGCTGGGGAGGTCACCAAGCTCAAAAATCCTCATGCACAAAAAAGAGCGCAAAGAGCTCACACCACAAGACGCCAAACAGCCTCCTGAGACTACTACCCTCCTCCGCCTCTCCCTCCCTGGGCTAGTCCAGGGGAGATAGCCCCCGTCGAGGGGGTAACACCGCACAAGTCCGCGCCCTTCCACAGCACTGGGTCTAAATTGAAAAGTACTCAAACGGGAAGACCCTGCGGCAACGCCGTATGTATGTATGTATGTATGTATGTAAGTATGTATGTATGTATGTATGTATGTATGTATGTATGTATGTATGTATGTATGTATGTATGTATGTTGTTACAGGGTGGTTAACTTCGCCAGCGGCCCCCTTTCCCGGGGCAGTCCCTGCTCTCCCCTGCTAGAGGGGCACCCTAATCCGTCACCCCATCCGACTTCAGAATGTATTCGTTGGGTTCGGCAACTCACCACCAGCATCCAACCAAATCTAGCGGATCAACGGCGCATCAACTTAGTTCCTGGTCAGCTCGCAAGTTGATATTATCACGTCCTACACCGTCCATATGATGGGGGGCCACCTCCCATTTCATCACTCCTCAAACACCCGAGGAGCCGGCAGGCGGATTTGAACCCGGGTCGACTGGGTCGACTGGGAGCAGAAGTCAGGCCTTAACCTCTGCCAGCCGCCTGCCGTCTATGTATGTATGTATGTATGTATGTATGTATGTATGTATGTATGTATGTATGTATGTTGTTACAGGGTGGTTAACTTCGCCAGCGGCCCCCTTTCCCGGGGCAGTCCCTGCTCTCCCCTGCGAGAGGGGCACCCTAATCCGTCACCCCATCCGACTTCAGAATGTATTCGTTGGGTTCGGCAGCTCACCACCAGCATCCAAATAAATCTAGCGGATTAACGGCGCATCAACTTAGTTCCTGGTTAGCTCGCAAGTTGATTTTATCACGTCCTACATCGTCCATATGATGGGGGGCCACCTCCCATTTCAACACTCCTCAAACACCCGAGGCGCCGGCAGGCGGATTGTATGTATGTGTAGCGAGTGGCAGGTCGCGGGTGGCGGCATTGAGCTGGGAAAAGGGGTGTTGATCTGGTACCTCACAAAGAAACTGACAGACACAACAACAACGAGCAGGGCGCCGTGCATGGCATGTAATGTGCAATGCCCTGGAAGGAGGTGATGGGAGCAGGGGGCTTGCGTGACATGATCCTCCGTGGACGTGATCAGCAAGAGGGGAGACTGATTGAGTGAGCAACACGGATACCGGATTTCCCCCCGGAGCTAAAAGTTGAAGAGGGTGCGGGGAATAAACGTACATAAGTGTACTGAGATACGTATACACAAATATCCGCAGGCAATACGTCCTTAACGACCTTCTGATGTAAATAAATCATACATATAACTGCGGCGCCCGGACTGAGTGGCTGGTGTACGGCAGGTACGACACCCGCAGTACCGCCATGCTGTCCCCAATGCTCCAATCGACAGGGGAACATTTTCAAACAGCCAAAAACGCACCAAAGCGGTTAGAGCAGCTTTTTCCTCTTTTAGCTCTTCTCTTCCGTCTCCCAAAACGCAGCTTCCACGCAAACTACCTCTCCCCTCCCCCTTCCACGACCCGATCCGCCAACACCAACTGGTAATACACATGTACGGCACCACTACCCACCAACCACCAACCACTCACAGCGACCGCAGCTACAAGCCCCAACCGCTAACCCAACCTACCTGCCCAGCAACGCAATGAACTTGGTCATTGTGTCCTCAAAAAGCACCTCCGTGACCTGTTATTGTTGTTGTTGTTGTTGTTGTTGTGCGGGTGGCGTTTGGGTTGGGGGTAGCGGGGGTGCAGTGGGGGATGATGGTGGGCGCAGGGTAATGGGGGCTCGCAGTGCCGTGAAACTTCCCTCTTCCGCCGGAACTTAGGACTTGAAGCTTACGCACGACATGGCGGCATGATGGTTCTTTTACTGCAGTACATACAGCTCGCGAGACCACACCTTTTTGTGCCGTTTAGGTAGCAATGTGGAAGGGGGGGTTTTGAACTGAGAAAGGAATGAGCGGATCTCGGCGAGACGAAAACGCCAAAGACGGGGCCACCGGGAACGGCTGGCGCTGCGGGTGCTGCGAGCCCTTCGCGAAGGGCTCCTTGGCGGCTTTTGGGGGAAGGGGTGAGGCTGGGTTTCTGCCTATCGCCGTCAGAAGTGGAAGCAGCCGCGCGGGGCCGAATAAATGGTGACTGAGCCCTGAATGGTTTCCTGTCTGAGTCTGGTCGCCGTGTTGGGGCCAAACCCGCTACATAACAGCTGACAGCAGATGCGGGAGTATAGGATGATAACCAGGACAAGGAACGAGCGAAAGCATGCGGCGAAGGCTATGGCCATTCGGAACGTTGCCCAGTGAGGCAACGATTCGAATGTCACTTGGACAGCGGATAATAACTCGCGATCCGTTTCGCAGACGTGGCAATCGGTATCCCATGATCGCTTGGCCGCGTGGGTCGCTTGGTCGTGGCGAGATGTAACTTCGGATGACACGTTCGAGCCCGCAATAAGAATTTGTCACACGCCAAAGAAATGCGTACCGTGAAGTCCTTGAAGCTCGCAAGTTTACCATCCTTGGCCGCTTCAGCTCCTGTGTCGGCCATATTGCATAATTAATAGTCTAATAACGCTAGATAATTGGTTTAAGTTATGATGGGCGCCACGAAAATATGTCAGGAAAGAAGCAAGGCCTTTCACGGGTGTCCTCACAGCTGTGAGGACACCCGTGAAAGGCCTGCAGGTGTCCTCTCTTTCACAGGGTTGTCGGTGGGCCTCCGATTTACTACACCAACCCAACCGGTGGGCTTGTGTTATGACATTTTTGGCTTCCAAGATTTAATGTAAGACCTCCTCAACAAGTGTGCGCGCTTGCACTAATCGTACCGACATTAACTCCATTGTAGCGCTGGGGAGAAACAAGAAAGTGTTTGGAGCCACACAGCCACGCCCATACAGCAACATGTTTCTCCCATGTTTGGCTCCTTTCGCATGTACGGACCGCCCGCCAGATGACTATCGCGGAAGCTACACCTCAACTACAAATTGGAGATAACAGACAAACATTTTTGGTGCCCAGATATTTTCTTAAGGGGTGCCTTTCACATTCGGTTATACTATATAGCACTGAAGCGGGAAGAGCAACCACTTCCGATGTTCCCCTGCTTCTCATAGGCCACACATAGTGATGCAGTAGCTGCGATCTATGTTCTTATATGTGGGTACCACGTAGAGAGCATGGCAACTGCCAAGCCGCGCAACTTCAGGCCTGGGCCGTAATCGCACGAGCCTGTGTAGGCTGAGGACGACCCAAACTAAGGAGCTCTCTCATGTGCAAGCAAATGCTCTTCTACGTGTTTCTCGTAGTTAGCGTTGCCCTTGCGTCGGGGCAACTGTTCTCTAAGCCCAATTTTCTTGTCATCGTAACGGTGCGTCGGGCTCGCGGTTGAGGTGGGCGTAACAACGCACCTCATCAGTCGAACTTAGTCAAGGAAGTGATGGGTAAATAATGGGACCTGGTAACTTAAATTGTACTTGCTGGAATGGCGAGCGGGCAGCTCGCACCCACGATTAGGCTACCGGTACATCGGAACAACCTACCCTGGTCAGCGCTTCTGTCCATACATTCTTACACCACGTTCAACCATATCTCCAACTCTCACTACTCCGAATCCGTGCCTGTTGTCCTCGCCTTCTGCCCATCCTGACGTCTATGTAGGCAACCCCTAACCTCCCTCTCCCATGGCCCGACGCGATGCGACCCCTGCACAATCCGACCCCCGCAACCTGTTGTATGGCATACTGAACTCAAAAACCAAGAGCAACAGAGCGTTTCCTTTCAATCCGCACCCTCCTAAACCACACACCATAAGCCCCACGGTTCCATTCCCCAACCCAAGAACTCACCTGACCAGCTCCCCTAGCACTCCCTAGCTAGCATTCTTCCGACCTCACCTCCACCACCTCCACCACCTCCATCACCTCCTCACCTCCACCACCTCCATCACCTCCACCACCTCACTCCTCTGAAGTTCCCTCTGGTGAAACCAACAACCAACGGATACCACAGGATGACCAGGACTACATGTTCAACTCTACCCACCCGTACTACATGCCCATGCTGAACCAGCACATTGTGGAGCAGGGCCTGCAGTTGCGCAACTTCCTCATCTCAACCGCCGCATGTTGCCCCTCGCGGTCCATTCTCATGACGGGGCGTTACACGCACAACAACAACGTCACCAGCAATATTGAGCCACACGGTGCGTATGGCGGCAACAGGAGAGGGGGCAGGCGGGATGGCGGGAAGAGGCGGCGAAACACAGAGGGGAAAGGCCATCGTTGGCCGGAGGGATAATCCATCATGGATTCCAAAGGAATTCGGTTTGTATGCACGGACGGCACAGGTAGACAGACACCCAGGTTAACCCAAGCCAAACCACCAAAACCCAGTTGCGACAAAGCCTGGGCTGCCAAAGCGAGTAGTTTAGCTCACCAAGGCGGATGAAGTTGTTTGGGGAGATGATCGGTTCACTCTCCCTGACCGGATACCGCGGGTGGCAGGCCTATCTAAGGGGGGTGATCCCTGCCGTACGCACCAGGGGGGTGAAAGGGAGGGAGCCAGTGGCTGGCAAGATGGCGGTGTGTGTATGTGTGTATGTATGTGTGTGCGTATGGACGCATGCATGCACTGCTTTCAAACGTAGGGCTGCTGCTGCCAAGCGCCAGTCTGAATGGGGCCAGGTGGCGGGGGCAGGGGGTTGTGGGGGGCCAGGGGGTTGTGGGGGGGCCAGGGGGTTGTGGGGGCCAGGGGGTTGCGGGGGGCCAGGGGGTTGTGGGGGCCAGGGGGTTGTGGGGGCCAGGGGGTTGTGGGGGGCC